CAATCATCATTCAGACCTCAGACATTCTCCACTGTTTTTTCCTGCAACGTTTCATGATCTTTCCCTTGACCTTAACGGATGCGATCCTGGCTTAGGCAGGTCCGGTTACCTTGGCCTCAAGGGGCCCCCGCCATGATCTGGCACTCGAAGGTTAAGGTCTTCTCTACAGCTATGCATGTGTGGGAGCACCTGTGGTGTACATGACCAGCAGCCAAGCGGACAGTATGCCCACGCCTGTGAAGATAGCTTTTCCAAAAAACCTCTTCTGCTGATATTCTCTCACTCATATCTTTTAATTAACACAAGCTGAGGGGGTTTCACATTTTCTTCTTTTTGTGCCCAGTCAGAGGCTGGCGCCCGGAACACTCCATGAACAAATGCTTCATCTCAGCCCATCCGCCTCCAAAAGCCTGAGAAAATAAGCAAATACGGGGAGGCTGGGGAGCTCAGGCAGAGCGCATCTTCCACTACTCTTTGCAACCGTTAAAGCATTCAGGAACAAAGGGCTGGAAGCTGAAGAAGCTGCACCCCATTGCTAGGCTTGGGTTTGCATCACAAACCTACTGAAAATTGAGCTGTGGGAATTGAGAGAATACTACCTTTGGTAGACCTACAGCTCCCAGCTTCTATTTAGTAGACTATAAATAGAGGGCTAATTCAAGAAATCCCTGTGCGTGTAAACCGAGACACGAGGCTCACATGACCTGCTCCAAGCCAATGGCCTCCCACTTCCTCTCTCCTTACAAAAAGAGGAGGTTTTTGTATGACCTGTGTGTGTTTAAGTGTAAAAGAGAGTAAGAACAAGATGAAGAAATATAGTGCTGCTCTGCCTTTAGTAAAATTATAGGGGCATTCCTGACTAAACCTGGCATTCAATGCGTTATCGGTCATGTTATGTAATATTCCGTAGAACAGCATCGTATCCTTCAGCCTCACTTGTTTGACAGATCTCACGATTTAGTATCCTTTTTGCGTTTCCATCCATCAATGTTCCTTCACTACACTACCAAACATATACCACACAAATGTCAGTACAACCATTGGGAATCCTCCAAAGGCAATAAAGAATTCCTGACTGCTAGCTGACGTACAGGCTAATAAACACAGACGTGATATTCGGCATCCTAGCAGTAATGTTAGCCATCTGGCTTCCTTCTAGCCAGCTAGTCGAAGGGCACGTTTCAAAGAGCCTGTCCTCATGTATGCACCCCAAAACCCTTGTAGTTTTTCAAAAATACCTTTCACCTTCAAGACATATCATCAGAAGGTTTTTCCTAGTTTTTAAACCAGAAAATCTCACTCTAGAGACTACTGCAGCACCACTATGAGGCGAGTAAAGATGTTTAAAAGAAATGAAGTAATGGGTACATTTTTATTTGGCCAGGGTTCTCTTTAAGTAAAATACTAACACAAAGATGAACACAAAGTCTTGTTTTTTCGTTCATCTGCTTTAACTTCAAGCACCTTTGGATTACCATGTAGAGAAAATTCAACCTACGACACCAAAACACGGCCACACAAATTTCACAGACAGACAATTTATCATTTACAATCATTATCAGATGGAGATCCTGACACACTATAGAAGTCCTTTATATCGTCAACATACATATAACAAGAACAACATAAAGGATTACAATAACGAAAAAGCAGAAGAAAATGTCTTTTCTAACTACTTTGACTTGCCTTTATCTTGCTGGGATACAAGACTAAGATAAACATGTTGTTGCCCAAAATGGTGACAAAACAGAGTTTGTGGTCCTGCTCTTTTCACTGAGATGAGTATGAAAGCAGAGTTTTCTGACTAAGGTCACTGGAGTCCTGGAGACAGACTAGCAGCAGGGTCCACAGCTACACGCTGGCCAGGAAGAAAGCCAAAATCAACTTCATTATTCCTCCTAATTATTTCCATAACCTAATGGTGGATTAGTTTAGATTTCAGTAGCACAGGAATAAGATCATGTGAATACGGCCACATGACTAGCCGAATGTACTGCCTGCATAGGAGACAACAAAAATAAACGTCAACCAGGAAAAAAAATAGATAATATTTGAGCTTAGGTTGTTTGATCGAAGCATGTCTCCACTTTGAAGGGTTACAAAACATGCAGATGTTCAATGACTCAAACGGATGTTTGTCACGCTGTCAAGGACCAAATCAATTATCAAAAATGCTTAACAAAACACTCTGGAGTTCTTCTGACCGCAGCCCATTGTGATCCTTCAAGAGCAGTTTGTGCAGCATTCACCTCTCCAAGTACAGCAGTTTAGTCTGAGCCTTGTCATTTTAAAGTCCTTTAGAAGATCCTCTGTGGGCAGCTGCAAACTTAAGACCATCTAAAGGGAGTTCAGCCCTTCAGTGTCTTTAAGTGTAAAGCAGAGGTTGGGAACTGAGGATCAGGGTCCAGCACAGTTTGACGTTTTCCTCAATCTAACACTCCAACTAAACCTGGCACTTAACTGCTGAGTTGAATCAGGTGCGTTTGATCAGGAAAATCACCAAACTGTGCTGGAATCTGACCCTTCGACCCTCTGACCCAGAGTTCCTCATCCCTGCAGAAGAGGAACGCAAGACAACCGAGTAAAGTACAACCTGGTTGGATACATTCTAGATGTTTTTGTTTGACACTTGGCCCAAAAGAGGCCGTGAAATAAATCACGAGGTGTTTGTAGACAATACTAACAATCTTGTAAAAGCAACAACATGAGATCTGTGTGTCAGTCACAGCAACAGTGCTCCTGACAATTCGGGTTCAGATGGCCGGCAGTCAATCATTAAGCTACTGACTTTTAACCTCATCACCGGCACTAAAAGCCCAGAGTGCTCCTTTACGCCAAAACGGACCAGAAGGGAGCTGTCTGTAATCCGGTTCACTTGCAACTAGAGTGCATAAATTCTTCGAGCTCTGCTGTGAGAGACTGTCAAGAAATTGCAATCACTAACATTAGGGAATCCTACTCACTTTAGAAGGATAATAAAGGATCCAAAAGTATGTTTCTGTGGTTCCTGATGCCTATCACTTAGCAAAGGTATTCAGAGTTTTCCTGATGGGCTGATAATGTAAGGAATCTGACCGGTTTTACAGGTGACCTGTGACGGATTCTAGATGCATCTAAAGGTTTTCTGAAGTGATCAAAAGGTGCTCTATAGGAAAACTAATTGTAACAATTAAGCCAATTCGCATTAGAGAGCAAAACCTTCAGGTTTTAATCCTAATTATTCTGATGTTTTTCTTGAGCAAGGAAAGGTTACAGGATGCATGTACTGTGTGAATAGGAGTTATAATATACCGTACAGCAGTCAGGTTTATGACCAAAACAAGCAGCGTCTCGTAGTTTAGCAGAAAGATGACAAGAGCGGTTCGAGATTCACACCAAGTCACATTCCCAAGAACATGATGTCCAGTTCTTCATCAGAACAAGGGTTCTCGACACCTGTCCTGGAGCTCAGCCCGGTTTGGTGATTTCCCCGCTCAAACACACCAAATCCAACTCATCAGTTAATGGTCAGGTTTGGTAGAAGCGTTGGAGCAGGAAAAATCATTAAACTGTGCTGGATTCAGGCTCTCCAGGACCGGAGTTGAGCTTCAACAGTAACGACTGTAACTCTAAATCATCTTAGTTATGAAAAGAAATTACAAATGTTTGGAATCCCCAAAAAGGAACTGATCAAATCCACCTGACACTGAACCTCTTCATTTCATACCTAACGAACAAAGCAGCAAAAACTAAACGATCAGTCATTCGAGCTGTAGCTGTTGGCTAAACCGCTCGCTCGACATAACAGCAGCTTCAGATTCAATAAACAGCTAACTTAATTAGGTTTGAGTCAGTTCCATGTAACGTTGACTAACAAAATAAATGTCAGGCAAACAAGTGTACGAAAATTCATTTAGGCTCATTCATTCATACACATTTTGTGGATAAACGACTTTAAACTTCACTGCCTTCCTGGAATAAGCACCGTAAACAACTTCGGCTTTGTTAGCTAGCTAGCTAGCTACCTAGCTCATGGCTGTTAGCTACACAACCAGCTAGACCGTTTAACGGACTCGTTTTAAGACGGCAGTTTGTTCAATTGAAGCTGAGAAACCTGTTAGAAAAGGCGACGGCGACTGTGCTGTTTCATGAGTATCTCTGGGAAGTCAAGTAAAGGCTGAATAAACAAATGTTTAAGAAAAACAATTAGCTATCCGGCTAACGTTTGTAGTCGCTTTCCGTGCGGCTTAAGCAGAGCGCTTAGCTCCGCTAGCTCGGCTATCCGAGTGAGAAAGCTATCATCTAGCGTTAGCTGTGGGTCGCTAGCTAACACGTTCAGAATTCAGTTCACTGCAAAAACATTAGCTAGCAGAGTTAGCCGGTGGTACAACACAAAAATGTACCTAGCCTGCTAGATAATAATCCGTCGAAGCGCGTCTGACATCTCAGAGTTTTACTTTGATTTATAATGACAAAATACTGTCTTTGGAAGACCACACTGAACCACTGTATTAAAGAAACTAGCACACCTCATATCGATAAAAAAACAATAGCTTAAAGCCCGCTAAAGTGACTAGCTAGCCGGCCAGTAGTGCTCTGTGAACAAACTAAGAAACATGAGCTACAAATCGAGTTCGGTAAGATGACAGTAGATTCCGCAAATTAGGAAAACTTGTACACCTTTTCTCCTTCTCAACAGTGTGGAGTTTGTCGACTTTTTTCCCGGAAAAAGTAACTTAACAAGCCATATGGGATTTTTTATAGTAGCCACTTACATCCAAACATAAAAGTTCCATGTTTCCACTAAAGAAATGCATTAAAACATTAACAAACAAGTCGAATCTGTCGCGGCTATTAATTCCAGTGCTGACCAAAAAGCATGCCCGGCTTGAAACTTACAGTCAGCGCTGTTAAACTACTTATCCGAGTGAGAATTCGCTTTGATTTCTGTCGACTGACAAAGAGTGAAAACCATCACTAGCTGCTAGTTTAGTTAGCTAGCTAGCCATCATGCTACTTACTAGGGGTCGTTTGTAAACCTGGGTGTTCGGGGAGGCTGGTATCCGTATAGATGGCAATAAAGCACGTCGAAACAGAAGCAACACATCTCCGCCGAAACGACCATCTTCCTGGCCCCGCTTCCCGAGCCAGGACCGGGGCTGAGGTTCGGGGAGAGGCCAGTGGAGTTGTAGCCTCCCGGAGTCGGGGACAGAGCAGTGCTGTTGCCGCTGCTACCACCACCGCCGCCGCCACTGCTGCTGCTGCTACCCCCAGGACCCCCCAGGCCGTTTACCCGATTCACGTTGCCGGCCACCACGGTCGAGGAGGACCCGATCCCCAAGTCCGATCCGCAGTGTCCGGCCCCAGCCACCCCGCTCCCCGCCCCGCCGGGTCCCCCCGAGCCGGGGGATCCCGACAACTTCTGCTTCTTCACCCCGCAGCACCCGGCCGCCATCTTCGAACAATCTGCACCGACACACCGCTTCCGACCCATCACCGTCACCGCGGGAAGGGCGGGGGGAAACGCCGACCACACGTAAAAGTCCCACTGCGTCAGGGCGTACGACGGACGATGCTCCACCTTTCCCTCCTCCCTTCTGCCTCTCTCTGTCGACGAGCGGAGCGGCTTACGGGAGGGAGGTGGAGGGGGGAGGGGGTGAGAGTGTGAGTGTGGGGAAGGGAGAGACTCTGCAATGTCACCCGAGCCTCTCCGCCCTCGAAAAGCCGTATCGTACGCTGCGATCGTACGCAATGTTCGTAAGCACGCGGCCAGCTGCGAACCTCTGCAGAGCCAACGCTCGGACGGAGCCGCGGTGTTGTTGATGAGAGCAGCAGGCCCCTCGCCGCATCAACCCGCAGCCGAAACGCGCAGACATCCACAGCGCGCTGCTGGAGGGGCGCGGAGTCGAGCTTCAGGCAGGGACGCGGAGCGAGGCGAGCCGAGCCGAGCCGAGCCGGCCGTCACCCTGCAGCCCCCTCCCCCGGTCCACCCTTCCTCAACAGCGCAGATTCAGCTCTTCCCGTGTGGGAGTCGGGGGCTTTTCTGAGTGCGCAGGACCCATACGGCTCATGAGCGAGGCGCTACGCCCCGGCTAGTGCTTTCTGTCAGTTGTTTACTTGCATCCGACCTTGGTTAGAAAGAGGCGGCCGGCTTCCCCCCCCTGTACACACACACACACACCACACACTCACACACACAGGTCGAGCTCCGAATACCAAGTTCTCCGCAGCTAGGATGGCTATTTTCAGGCAACGCAGCAGTTTGGCTTTTCTGTCAGCGCCAGAGAGAGGCGAGTCATTTCAGCAAAGCCCAGCGAAACACCGGCCGACCCCCTCAGTGCGCAGTATTACACCCACCCTGCCCACCTTCACCCCTACGGCTCTTTTTACAGGAACCCCGAACTGGAAAGTTTTCTCTCCGCGGCTTTTAACGTTGCCATCCGTTTATTAGGGCACATTTTTTGAACGGCATGAGACACCCCGTCCATCAGAAGTCGGCGGACGCTTTCCCCCAGCCGTGCTCGCTAGTCCAGTCCCAGCGACTGACATTAAAGCCCGGTTGCAGTTAATGGGGGGGAAATAAGGGTCCTACGCGATCATCCCGAAGCCGCCAGAGCCGTATTCACTTCTTCCACGCCGAAACCAGAATCCAGGACGTATTTTACGATCACTTCTTACGTATCCTGCGTACTCCTTACGGCTCGCCGAATCTGTATTCACAATCTCGGCTACGTCAGAAAAAAAATGAGGCTGAATCCGTTCACGGAGCCGCTTCTTCATTCAGCGACATCTGTCCCGTCTTCATTAGTGAACCGTACAAATCCGTCTGTGGTATGTCCTCGTCCGCCTTCATCCTAGTGGAGAAAGAGGAGATGCATGACGCGTCAGGAGGAGCGGGCTTTCAGCTGCGACTAGCGCTAGCGTTAGCCTGCCCAGCAGCGCTGCTGCACAGCCAAATGTGTGCTCAGCACCAGTGACTGAACAGGGAGGATGTCCTAGCGTATTCTCTATTCATTCAAATAGCCCAATGTAGCATAATGTCTGGCCACTCTGATCCTTCATTATTATTCACCAAAGCTCACCAGGAAGCTCTTAAAAACATGGTTCTTCAAGGGTTCTTTAAGAAAGGGAATGGTTCTGTTTAGAACCATGATTTCATGCTTAAATGGTTCTTTGCATCTTCTTTGCATGGTGAAGTCATTCTTCAGATTGATGAAAAATGTGTTGTATATGGTTCTATACACACTTTATTTAAAAGGATGGTTCTTCAAGGGTTCTTTAGTAAAGAAAATGCTATTTTCTTTATATATAGAAGCATGAACACTCAAAGAACTCTTTGGATGATTAAAGGGTTCTTTGCATCATGAAAGTGTTCTTCAGATTGATGAAGAATGTGCTGTAGATGGTTCTATACCTTTTTGAAAAAGTTCTACAAAGCATCAAAAATGGTTCTGCTATTGTTACCATGTCAGGCTTGTTACAATTGAAGAACTCTTTTCAAGCAGGTTTTATATAGACCCATGTATAGCACATTCTTCATCAATCTGAAGAACGCTTTCACGATGCAAAGAACCCTTTCATCATGCAAATGGTTAATTGATTGCTTTTTTTTTCTAAAGAACCATCTTTTTAAAGTGTTATATAGAACCATGTACAACACATTCTTCACCTATCTGAAAATTTCAGCATGCAAAGAAACATTTAAGCATGAAAGGGTTCTATATAGAGCTATTTCCTTTATTAAAGAACCCTTGAAGAACCATCTTTTTTAAGCTACAGCCTTTCTTCACCAGAGGAACTGAGGAAATATTCTGTTATAAATTTCTGTCCTGCTTTTGAGTTAGGATGTCCTGACAAGAAAAAAGGTGTCCTATAGGGGGGTGGGGTACACCCTTTTCACTGGGGGGCTCCCATATTAAACCTTACACTACCCTGGCCTACACCTTTTTTTAATCTGAAAGACTAAATCTAAGAAGTAAACTTGTTTATAGAACAATGTATTTATTTTCTCTTTCCTGCTTGCATTTTGAAAGCAAGTAAAATCACTGTACAGTCGAACATTCATCTGTGGAACAGGGTGCTGTTGAAATAGTTATCTATATGGAAGCAGACATGCATTGAATAATGATATGCATAGAACACACTTAAGACATCCCTGAAAGTGCTGACAGCAGGGTCACAGGAACATGCTCACACCTAAAAAAAAACGGCAGTTTGGTTTATACCATTTTCAAGACATGCTGCCTATGCCTGAGTCAGTGCTTTAAACGGATGACAGTGGTGTTTCACTGCGCTGAGCTCAGCTGAGCAGATTGTGGGTGACAGGTAGAAACGGGAAACACAGAGGCAGCCTTCAGGCCTGTTGAGAAGCTACAGAGCGCCTTCAGCTTTTTCATAAAAGTGATGTTTCACAGTGTAACCCAAGCCTGTCTGTGCTGCTGGTGTAAATTCATCAGGCCAAAAAGGAAGAGAAAAAGGCAGCAACATTGTAAGCATGATATCTGAATGAACACTACGCTTTATTCCTCACATGGCTTTGCCTACATAGTAATATAACGGCAAATTACATATTTCACGATACGCTGACAGTAAGCCAGAATTAATTATTGGTAAACACAGCAACAGCTACACAGCAAGAGATGTGCCATTGATCAGTTGATCCTAAACCAAAATCTCTGGATTCATAGTACTTCAGTTGCTCAGTGCTTTTAATAGAAAAGACAGGGAGTCTGTGAAGTTAGACATCTCTATAAAAATTGTGTTCCAAATTACACTGCTCTGCAGAATTATTGGCAGTCTTAGTATATGAGTGAAAAATGCTAATACACTCAAAACAGCAGAGATCTAACAATCCAGTGAGGTAAACACATTCAAAGAAAAATCCTAATAAGAAAAACTAGTACACTCAAGATAACAGCACCAAGTCTTATTTTATAATGTTGGATTAGGTAGTTTCCAAGATCATTTGTTACAAAATGTATGCATCCTTTAGATTCCATGGTCCTCACCTGTGGAATCTCCTCTACAGCTGACCCTTCAGGTTTCCAGCAGGGTTTAGTTCAGGGGTCTAGAAGGGTCGCTACAAAACATTGGTAATGTGGTCAAAGAACCATTTTTTATGGATGTTAAGCTGTGCTTTGAGTAACTGACCTGCTGGAGGATCTGACAATGGCTCTATCTTAGCTTCCTGACACATGTATTCAGATTTCAATAAAATGTTGTGGTATTTGATGCCTGTGATGCCATGTATCGTAAGATTTCCACAGACCCACATTCTCACAGATCGCCCACCATATGTTGTTGCATGACCTTTACCGCCACCTTGCCAAAAAGCTCTAATTTGTCTCATCTGATCATAGTCCTGGTTCCAGTCAACGGTCTAGTGATGTTTAATCGTCTCAGTTGAGGTTTGATGACAGCAGAGGCATTTTTCTGGAAAGTCTTTCAAATAGGTGGCATCTAACTGTAATTTTGCAGACTTGGCAACTTTAGAATGCAACCATCTTCTGTAACTGTCCTGGGAGAAGATTCTGCTTCTCAAACCGTCTTCCTCACTCTACACAGGGACAAAGTACACTTTTTTGACCCAATAGGAGTTTATGAAGGTCAGCAACCTTTTGTCTTCTTTCATTCTCTGATCTTCCCCATGTTGACAGATGACTCAGGGTGTTCGGCCTGTGCATCACCTCATATTTATACCCCACTGAAACGGGAAGTCTTAAAAAGTTCCTAAAGATCCAACTGTGCTTTAAAATATCTTATAAAAGGAAATGTATGTCCCAATAAAAGTGAAGTATTAAAGAAATAACAAACTACATTTGTCAACATTAACAAATCCTCAAATTGCTAGTTTCCAACATTTACTTCCAGTAACCTGAGCTTAATAGATTATAGATTGTGTTATAATGTTATCACACCGTAATAAATAAATAAATAAATCATAATTCAGTATTAATATACCTTTTTGTGTTCCCTGCTGTAAAGTGGATTCTCTTTATGTGCAGTAAATGCTTAATCACTGTCCTTTGCACATGTTAGTGGTAATAAAGAATATTAGAATTTAGCATTTCTGTCTATGTATACACACACATATATTTTGACTATTACCTTTTGTGAGCAGCACCACCTTCTTAACTTACAAATACTAAGACTAATCACAAATATTAGCCGATTAACTAAACATACTAATTATGGCATTGGTTTATAATGTTTATTGTGGATGTATATTTAGTCACTGATGCAATAAACATTAAATTTAGTTAACATTTAAACAAACATCAGTTAACTCAAGGCTTACTACTTCATTAACATTAGTAATGATAAAGTTCATGATTTTTTAAGGTTAACAAAAGCAAGTGCTCAGTATTTAAACATACATCAACAATTTTTAACATTACTTATGATTATTAATGCTGGAGTTGATTGTTTTTTAAGCTTAACTAATGCAGTAAATTATGATAAATAAGAACGTTAACGTAAAGCGTTAGTAGAATTTTT